GGTCAAACTTTCTTCTTTGCTATCAGTGGTTGTGTTAGTATTGAGTGCATGTGCCATCACTTGTCAGAATAAAATGTGTGTGTGTGTGTGTGTGTGTGTATATATATATAATCTATAGAATACATAAAACAAATATTATAGAAATGCTTTATGTAGCACACCAACACAATGAGACTAATAATTCAGCAATATGAACTGATTTAAAAATCCAATTTACCTATTGTTCAGATAAGCTGAGAGAGTATTCATTGCTTTTGGTTGAGTATATTGTTTAACAGCTGTGACCTCCAACCCCAATTATAAAGAAATACAAACCTCAAACCCATTGCTGTCCAGTTAATTCTGAGTCATGTCTGTTCTAAATCCCATAGAGTTTCTTTGGCTCTAATCCTTATGGAAGTAGATCCTCTGCTTTCTGGGGTGATTCTAGGTGGCTTCCGACAGCCCACCTTTCAGTTAGTAGTTGAGTAAAAATACTCTGTGTCCTCATGGCCTTGTGCTTGTTGACAGGTACCGTTGAGACAGTTCCAACACATAGCAACCATGTGCACAACGGAAGGAAACACTGCTCTCTCAGTCCTGCTCTATCGTCACAGTTGTTTCTGTGCTTGAGCCCATTGTTGTAGGGCCTTGCGTGGACCTAACTAGTACAGGATGTATTCTGGTGACCTTTACTTATGACATCATGCATACAAAAATCAAATCAAATTTCATCATTTAATTTTTTCTTGGAAAAATAAATTTTATTCTACTTAACTTGCAGCCCAAGAATGGTTTGTGATTTTGCTTGACCTCACTGTATGCACCCAGCAGGGTCAAGGTTTGCAGCGTATCTCAAAAATAAGTTTGTATATATTATAATGCAATAGTTAACATCTTGGATGCTAACTGAAAGGGTGGTGATAGGAACCTACATTGGCTCCAAAAGAGGAAGCTCTGTTGATGTGCTCCCTTAAAGAATATAGACTTGGATCCTGATGCGGCTGTTCTACTGTGTGTTATAGGAGGAGTGTCACTGTGATTCGGGATCATTTGGGCCCTTATGAGTCAGGATCATTAAATAAAAACACAATCTTGTTGCACTGTGATCACATTCTAAGGTAATATGATCGATTCATGCAAGACAACTGAATTATTTTCATTGATTTCCTTCTTACAGACTCCTCACTCTGTGTGTAGCAATAGCTGTGTCACAGGATTCATGAAAATCACTCAGAAAAGGAAATATTTTTGCTGTTTTGATTGTATTGCATGTTCAGACAGAGGAATATCTAATCAAACAGGTAGGAATTGACAAATACAGCAGTCAGCTTCTCTCACTTCTAACCAGCCTCCTGGACTCTCTGGGTGGGACAAAGAGGTAA